ATGAATTCTTTATTAAATAATTTTTAAAAAGATGTATATTGTTTAAATAAAATTTCTTTATAAATAATCGATCTTTTCAGTTTTCATTTTATTAAAAATTTCATTCTAAAGTTTTATCAAAAAAAATTTAATATACAATTTTGACATAAAATCTTTTATTTTAAAAATTTTGACCAAAATTTTGTTTTAAAAAATGAATAAACAAATAAATAATTCTAGAAAAAAAAATAAAGATTTTTAATAAAACAAAAGCCCAATCGACATCATTTGTAGCATCTAGTAACTTATCAAACTCAAGAGCAAATACTACTTTTACATAGTTTTTTATAAAGATAATCAAACTGATAGTACAATCATATATTGCAAGATTTGCATTCAGAAATTAGACGAATTAGATGAAATTGACGCAGAACCATATCTATACGTTAAATCAGGAAGCAGTATGGGAGACTTAGTAAAATAATTATATGAGAAATATTACATAACTTCAAAAAACTATAATAGATATCTTGATGATAATGAAGAAGTAAAAATTAATATTTTTTTTAATTAATTTTGAATAAATCACTTTTCACTCATTTTTTTTTAAGCTAATAGCAATAATTAACTGATCTGTTGATTCAGCAGACTCTGACTTACCTTCTCTTTTACCTACACAACAATGTGAATTAACAAAACTTATAGTTGAGTTTATCGTATATGATGTCCAACCTTTAAATATATTAAGAAATCCATTATTTCGTAAGCTTCTAAATGGATTTAAACCGCAATACCAAATACCATATGTGAAAAACCATTAAAAAATATATTTCTGAAGCTTATATGTGGGGGACAGAACAGCTTAAAAAGTTGTTAGTAAATGTTAATACAGTTATTCTAAGAACAGACTTATAAACTGCAAAAAGCAATCACGGCTATCTCAGCATTACTATAACATGGTTAACTTCTGATTTTAAACTTCAGGAAGCATTACTCTCAAATCACCACATGCTGTATCTATATACAGGTCAAGATATTAGTAAGGAGTTATTTAGCATTATAAATAAGTGAAAATTAATAAATAAAGTACATAATATTGTAACAGATAATGGGCCGAATATGATAAAAGGTGTTAGATTATTAAAAGAAAACCACCTTCCTAATATTAACTAGCAGTCATGCATTGCTCATACCCTTCAACTTTCAGTAAAAGAAGGGTTAAAACAAATTAAACCACTTCATAAATGACTTTAAAGCATTCAAATATTCTTTAAGCTTCGAAAGCAAGCACAATGTTTACGAGATACGCAAATGCAAATACAAATAGATTCGTCTAATATAATTCAAAGTGATGCGAAAGACAAAATAGTAAATCTACTTGAAGTTCTAAGTGATTGTAAAAACCGTTAGAATTCAACCTATTTAGCATAAAAAAGAATTTTAACATTGTATCCAGCAATGTTATCACTTGCAACCTTATTAAGAAATAAGTCAGATGCTGCTTCAAAACGTAAAGGCGAAAATTTCTAAAATTGTGTCTTACTATAGAAGAACAAGAGTACGTATTAGTATTTATACTTAATCAAATACTTAGTATAACAACTGAATTTATATATATATGTGATATATAATATATATTTTAATTGATTAATATGAAAAATTATATATACATATATTTTTTATTTATTTTTTTTAAAAAAAGATTACAGAGCAAATAGTTAATTTCTTAAAGCCATTTGAAGAGATTACAAGACACATTTGTGGATCAAAGTATTCTACTTTGAATCTTGTATACCCCTATATTCGAACTTTAAAAAATAAATTCGCATCTAAAAGTGAAAATAATAAATCATATGAAGCTTGGATTACCCTAATTTATGGCTCAGAAGATTCAGATACCAGCAATAATTCAAGTCTTAGTAGTGATAACGAAGCTGATATACCATCAGCAAAAAATTGTCAACAATAGCAGTATGCACATTAAGTATGCATCATAATAAAAATTGTGCAAGTTATAAAAAAAGTAAAAATAAAAAAAAAGTAAAAAAAATAATTCTGACGGAATTAGAAGATTCTAATTCTGTAGAATACTTATCACCTGTAAATTGTTCTGGGCTTTTAGAAAGAGCCCAAGCTGCTATTTTTTTGTCTATTGATGAATTATGAAATTCATCTAATATAATAGGTTTAAAGGCTTCTATTTTAGACCCTTGAGCATTAAAATTACTTCCATTTGCTACAACTCAAGAACGGCAAGAAACTGAAGCCCAAGTTCATGCTGAATTATTGTCATTTGAAAATCAAATGAATATTTCAAGTAGTGCTGAAATCAAAAAAAGTATAGTAACTATTAGTGAAGATCCTCAAGATTCTCTAAGTACCGAATTATAGGGATCATTGTCAATACCTAATAATGTTACTGATGAAGATGAATTCACTTGATACATGAAAAACCAATAGCTAATAAAAATCATAATCCTTTAATATGGTAGGAAGATAGGCATAAAAGCTTTCTATTCCTTAGTTAACTTGCTCGTAAATATCTGTCTATATCTGCTACATCAGTTCTATTAAAACATTTATTTTCTGATGTGAACACTCATATTTCTGCTAGAAGAACTCGTCTTGATTCTAATTTGGTATATAAGATATTGTTTTTAAAAAGAAATGCACATCACCACACTATGTTTTCACTTGATAATAAATAATTTCATCACTTATCTGTTTTCTTTTTTAATCTGAAGACTTATCTTTAATTCACAAATGTATATTCGTAAACCTATTCTAAATAAAATTTATTTAGCAATATTATTATTATTATTATATATATGATCTAATATTAATAATAAAAGGATACTTGGCAGACTGCTTCTGGGCACCCACAAGGTAGCCAAGAGATGTCAGGTCTAGATATTAAGCTCAACATTATGTAATCTATTTATATAATAATCTTAATAAAGAATTACTAGCAAAGTTGCCAAAGATTAAAAAAATAATAATAATAATAATAAAAGGATACTGTTCAAATTAACAATTCTAAAATTGATAAAAAATTAAAGTTTTGATATGAATCATTGTCTTCGTTATACAAAAAGTTTTCACTAGTTATTTTTACTTTGAGACTATATATAGATTTGATCTACATAGTATACTGAACACCACATCATGATACTATAAACTTTAACACAGCTACTAAAAATTCAAATTATGTAATTATTAATAGTAAAAACATTTGTTGAACATAAAAAAAAATAGATAATGTTGAAAACTGAATGTAATAGAACAACAGATCGAATTTAAAAAGCCAAAGAGATGCTTCTTGCCCATGAGTTACTAGTTTTGGCTTTTGAACTAGCAAAATCTCAAATCAAAAGAACAAACTATAAATTAAATATAAGCTAAGTATCTTTAGTATAACAATCGATCATTGATTGGTTGGTAATGTTTGGGATATACAATAAGAAATGGACAGAGGTATAGGTTTTGAATTGGGTTTGAAATGTCAATAAATGTTGACTTCAAAACCAAAATTAAGTAAAAATCTCAAAATGTTCTATACGGGTTTAGATAATATCATTAGCCTAGTAACAGTATTATCCTTCTGTCTATGATAATCTGCATATGATAATTTTGTTATTGTGATTGGTAAATAAAAATAACTAAAATTATTAATTAATGCAGATCATAGTAGACTGAAGGTAATATTTTTTATCAGAGTTTTAATCGTCAGAATTTTTAACTATCAGGATTTTTAACTGTCAAAATTTTAGCTGTAGAATTTTTTTTATCAAGATTATGATCTGTTGGAATTTGACTCAAACCTTATAAGGAGCTAATAAAACTAGTATTTAATTTTTTTTTTGATAAAATTTAACAAAGTTGGTTGTATACACTAAGTTCCACTTATAAACTTAAATGATTGAGTTTAGACAAAAGTAGAGTTAATACCTAATTATAAGATTTGGATCTTAATAATAGGATCTGGATCCAAATCATAAGATCCAGATCTTAATAATAAGATCCAGATCTTCATAATAAGATCTGAATCTTAATAATAAGATCCAGATCCTATTATTAAGGGTAGGGTGTACGTAGATCATTTTTCATATGATCTACGTGGTATATAAGATTTTTATATAGTAAATAAAAAAATGCTTCTAATAAAACTTTTAATATCTTAACCAATTTGTATAAAATTTATAT